TCCCCTCCCCTCCCCTCCCCCCTTCCACCACAATAGACTTACCAGCTGCACACAGCTGTATCGGAAATCAGATTGGTATCAGCCAATATGCCTCCTTAAATATTGGCTATCAGTATCAGCCTCCAAAATCTCTATCAGTGCAACCCTAAAACAATATCCTACTGCTGCAACCCTCAGGTGTGACACGAGCAGGAGTGTTGTATGTGAAGGAATCCTTTTGGTTCATTTCTGCTCTCCTCTGCTCTGCTCAGTTGGGTCAGATTTGGTCACCACACTTCAAGAAAGATGTGCACCAACAAAAGGGAATTCTGAAAAGATAAACAAAAAGGATCAGAAGTCCAGAAGCAGGATTCTTGAAGAAAGCTTGAGAGAACTAGGTTTGTTTAGTCTAAAAAAGACTAAGGAGAGAGAGACCTGGTAACAGTCTTCAAGTAAATAAGAGGCTACTGCAGACAAAGGTAGTAAATTATTCTGTGTCTAGAAGACATGGAGGACACAAAGACAAGAAATAATAGGCTTAAATAACAGCAAAGAAGATCAAGGTTGGATATTAGGAAAAAACTTTCCAAATGTCAAGATAAATGCCGGAATTGATTACCCAGGTTCACTGTGAACTTTCCATCATTGGAAGGCTATGTAAGCAGGCTGGACATTTGTTTCAGGAGTGGTCTGTGCATAGCAGAAGTGTGGAGGAGATAACCTCTCGGGGTCCTTTCCAACCTGTTTTTTTTTTAGTTGAGAATATTTATGGGCTTATATCTTCCTGCATTCTGTGTAGCTGTGCATGCTTATAATACATTGTAATTTTCAGGTAATGGATAACTTCTTAATCCAGGTAACAGGAAAGAAACGAGTTGTGTTGTACAGTCCTCGAGATGCACCGTATTTGTATTTAGCAGGTATGTGTGTAACATGCCTATTTAAGTTCAGGGTTTAGTTGTTTTAGTCCAGTTCCCAGTAGATATATAGTTCTACTCAAAAAGCCATCAAAATAACTGATAGTGATAACTTTCCAGACAGACCACATTAACTAAATTATCCCCTAATTCCTAGTGGTGGTTACTCCAACTCAGGGTTGAATAATGTTTGGGGGCGAGGGGGAAGCAGCACAGTGAACTTGCATTTTTGCTATCCAGGCTCAACCTGCTCTGTAGATTGAGTGATCTGGTGCCTAACACTGTCAAAGCACAGAGCAGTACTCACATGTAAGGCTGTAACTAGACTCTAATATGTTCTAATAGTTAGGACTTTCACTGACCACACTGTGTGGTACCAGTAGAAATTATACTTAAAACATGGACACTGTGCCACATAGACATGTATACCCAGAGTGCAAATTTATTCATGATTTTGCTCAGTTGAAGGCAATGAACCAAGGCTGAAGTTGGCCCAATAATTGTTACAGCTTAGAAAAATATGTTAACTTTATGGGGAAATATAAGAAACAAAGAATAATTATTAACTTCTTGTAACACCGTTAGGCACTAAATCAGAAGTGCTGGATGTGGACAACCCAGACCTGGAAAAATATCCCCTTTTTTTGAAAGCCAGGCGCTATGAATGCTATCTTGAAGCAGGAGATGTGTTGTTCATTCCAGGTAAGGAACAATCGTAATTCTTGGCATACCTCAAGTATTACTGAAAGCAGTTTTGAGATGGTTAGCAAAGACTCCATAACAAGGAAGTACCTTTCATAATTTTGTTAATGCTTCCGAATTTTTAGTTGTAACAAACTGTTTAGGATGACTGATGCTTTGACACTGATATTTGCAGTAAAATAAGGAATAGAAGGAATATCTGAAATTGGTCTGTACAATCTTAATATTGATAAAACAGGCTACTATTAATGGCATTTGTGATTAATCCTATAATACTGAATTACAAAAAAGGATAAAATATTAAGAAAACATTAAATCAACTTTATTTTTATAAGCCGTAAATCTGAGATCATGTAGATAGCTAAATCATGTTCACTTTAGCATTCTTGATGGGAAAACAAAGTATAGTGGTAAGACTGTGGCATTAAAGAAAACAATGATGGTGGTCCAAGAGGACTTGATGCCATACTTCCCCCCCCCGCCCCATGAAAGAAACTTGGCATTCAGTATTCATTTGACCACTGGTGTTTTCACTGTTGGGCAGTTTGAAACAAAAGTCTTTCTATAGGGGATAGCTGGTCAGTGGAATGCATTTCATATGCCTCCTTAGTTCTAACTGGTGTATTGAGTATGCATAATCTGCTAATTCAGCACTTTGATTCTTACTGTTCAGTTGGTGCGTATACAAGGCACTTTGCTTTACTGCACAGCAGATTAGTATCAACACGTGCATCATTTACTGCACAGTAAATTAGTCTCCTGTGCAGTTTGTCACTACCTGTACATACAGGTAGTAAACTAACTGGGCAGTAGCACATGTGTAGATGCTGGCCAGGAGAAAGCTTGCTCCTGGTCAGCCCCTACACCGGGGGCCACAGGGGACAAGGAACTGCCCTGGTCCTGGCACTGGTCAGCTCCTGACTCCCTCCAGAAGCAGGGACCTGAACAGTGCCCAGATGGGGTAGCTCTCTGCCCCCCTGTCCTGGTACTGCTCAACTCTCAGCTCCAAGAGCTGAACAGCACCAGAACTTGGGAGCACCCTGCTTCCCTGAGCAGGCCAGGGCTGGTGGGGATTTCCCCAAGCAGCCTGGGGCTAGGTGGGAATTGTCCCCCTTCTGAGACAGGTCCCAGCCAGCTTGGGGCAGGGATTTCCCTAAGCAGCCTAGGGCTGGCTGGGAACTGTCTCCCTTCTTGGGCAACTCCCAGCCAGCTCAGGGCTGGGCAGGGATGTCTGCTGCCCCAAAAGCAGGACAGCTCTCAGCCTGCCCTAGACTGTGGGGAAGTCCTGCTGGGCATGGGGCTTGTTACCATGTGCACAGGGCCAGGAGAGCTCTGCAGAAGCAGCTGTCTCTCAGCCCCTTGCATATCAAGACCCCTCCCCATGTGTAAGGGGCCAGGAGACCTCTCCTGGCCCTGTGTGCATGGGGACCCACCCCGTACTCCATACACAGTGACACTGAGTGGGGCTGGGGTGGTACAAGTGCTAAGGCACATAGTTGACAGCCTAGAGATTGCAAATTTGAGGACACAACAGAAGTGCTCATGTCATGGCCCTGTCAGATTTCAGCAAATCTGTGAATTCTGCTAAAATACCTTGTTACAAGGCCATGAAAAGGAAAGGAATGTCACTCAGTGATGGAAAAATACTTTTTAGAATAACTTTTTAATCTCTGTTTTAACAGAATTAAAGTGAGATGGTAGAATACCTTGCAGAGAGGAGGAGAAGAGAGACTGCCTGCGTTGGCTATACTGTTACAAACTCTGCAAATGTTTATGCAAAAGTTGCTGTTGTTGCTGTTTTAGGAACATAGATGTTCCCATCCATCTGATTTTGTCAGCATTGTCTTTAGCGTTGAACCAGCACGTTAAAGACTTTTTGATCCTGAACCTTGATCAGTAAAAAGCCCAGTTTTCCAGCATCAGTGTGTAATGGGGGGTGCCGGTAATATAAAAATGCTCGTTACCTGAGGCACAGAGGTTTCCAGCTGGACGTTGCACATGGAGCAGGGGCTAGAGGGATGACAGCGGTCGCATGCGGAGTGGCACCAGTGCAGGGTAGTGGCGGCCGCCACTGCGCACAAACTCTCCCCCACGTCCGGCCATCTGGCCAGAAATTCCGGTTAATAGAAATATCAGTTAGTCAAATGTCGAATAACAGGACTTTTACTGTACATACATTTTTATCAGGACCTTCAATTGTATTATGGAGCACTTAAAAATATTTGGCTCAGCATTAGTTAGGCAGACAATGTAAATGAGCATGAAAATTGGAAACATACAAGGTAAAGTGCCACAGGAAAAACAAGACTTTAAAAGGTGGTGCACCATATTGCTTGAATTCAAAGGGTTTTGAATTCCAAACTGGGTCCAAAATGAGCTGACATTGGAATTACTGTATTTTTGATGGAATTACTGCTGATTTATACTATTATAAATAAACAATAAGTTTCAGCATATGTCACAGAAAACAAGCTGTAGCAGAAAAAGCAAAAAAACCCCAGATGAACAAGGTGTCTTTTGCTTTTTTGTGGGTAGCACTACATATAAAACACGCAATGAAAATAATCCCAAACTGAACAACAAAAGTAGAGTTCTCTCTTTCATGTTAAGTTACATAGGCAGGTCACAGTAATGATCCACTTCAGGTAAAAAAAAAAAAAAAAAAAAAATTCTTCTTGCTTGTTTGGTTCAAACGACAAACTCTACAACCTCTTGACTATCAAAAAACTTACTATGGATGACAAACACCTGCATT